AAAGTGAAATTAAAAAAAGGAAAAATAATATAATGATATTTGGTATTAAGAAATTTGATTCATTTGTTGAAGAAAAAAAAGTTATTTCAAATATGTTTAAAAAACTTTCAAATAGCATGATCGAACATCTTGATGACATAAAAATGAGGAGGGTAGGTACAAAAGTGTAGTCACAACGACCTCTTTTGGATTTTTCCGTAATACTGATGAAAAATCTATTATTATAAAAAATTTATTCAAACTAAAAACATTAGATTCTGACCTAAGTAAAATAACAATAAGGCACGATTTAACACTGGAGCCATGAGCGTCATTGAAAAATATGACTGCTGAGGCAAAGAAGTGTGAGGTAAATGACACTGAAAATTTTTTATAATGAGTGAGGGGGAAATTGGAGAATAATACGTTTAAAAAAGCCCAACCTAAAAAGTAGTTGTTGTAAATATTTTGGGTGTAATTTAAATTGCAAATGTAATATGCTAAAAAAAGTAAAACTTGGATTATTGAACATTAGGTCAATAAATTCTAAATCTGATATAGTTTATCAATTATTGATGGATGGGTCGGATATTCTTGTTATTGTCGAGACGTGGCATGGTACTTCTGATAACATTTCTGTGAAAATGGCGATGCCACCTGGGATTTGTTTGTTGATTTTTTGAGGAAAGATGATCCTCACCATGGTGGATTAATAATTTTTTTACGTAAAATGTTCAAATATAAAAAACTGGACTTACCAGCGTTTATTTCCTTTGAGGCTATTGCTATCATATTAACAATTAATAAAATTAATGTGGTATTATTTGAATTATATTGACCTGGATCCGAGGCGGTGTCCTCATTGTTTTTTCAAGAATTGCTATCGATGATTGAATATATAATTCCTTTGGGTGATCACACAATCATACTTGGTAATTTTTTTATTCATATTGAAAATCAGATGATATACATGCTCGTCGTTTAATTAATTTGTTTGATGTATTTTTGATGAGAAATATTATAGGTGAACTGACTCATGTTGTGGGCGGCACGCTTGACTTAATTTTTTCTGGGCGTGATACTAAGATTTGTGATACTACAATTTATACTTGTGATGTATATTCTGACCACAGTTTAATATCTGTCTGCTTACCGGCATTTCGTCAGTGCGTTCGTGGAATTGTGTTGATAAACAAAAATTAACAACTCTAATTTGTGATTCTTTTATAAGCAAACCGTGCAATTTCATTGATGCAAATAAGGCAGCTCAGTGTTTCAATGATGAACTTGAAAGAATTGCCAATATTGTGGTGCTGTTCATATTGTTGAAACAAAACTAGTAACGAATGCTCCGTGGTATGAGAGTGATTGTAGTAAAATGAAACGCGAGTGTAGAAGGTTGGAAAATAAATACAGAAAATTTAATAAAATAGAGGATAGAGCGCAATGGATTGAGTTGATAAAAAAAAACAAGGTCTTTCCTGAGAAAAACAATCGTTTTGTAAAGGGTTGGTGGAGGAGAATGATAATAGGCCAAAAAAATTATGGCGTGTTTTAAACAAAATATTATGCAGGGAGTCAAATGATACTGATTGTGATGATAGTACTATTCATATGACTAATACATTTGTTGAGTATTTTACTAATAAAATTAAAGAAATAAAATTGGTAAAATGGGTGATCCCATTACAGCAATCAGACCCAATGTTGAAATAAAATTTCATGAATTTTCACAAATGACGGAAAAACGATATAAGGCCATTGTAATGACGTCTCCGTCTTCACCCTGTATGCTTGACTGTATGCCAACAAAGGTTTTACAACAGTACATTGATTATTTTTTGCCTTACTTGACGGGTATGATGAATTTGTGCTTGTCAACAGGAACTTTTCCGACTGTTTGGAAACATGCAATCCTAATTCTCCTGTTGAAACAACTATCGTTGGATATGAAAGTATTAAAAAATTTATACCAGTGTCCAATTGTCGTTTGTCTCAAAAATTTTGGAACGAATAGTGTCATCTCAGTTTTTGAAATATTTGGAAGGTAATAATTTTTTATCACTAGGTCACTCAAGATATAGACGACACCATTCAACAGAGTCAGCTTTGTTGCGCGTTTTATCAGATCTTTTTGAAGCATCTGATAGTGGCAATGTTTCTTTGTTGACACTGCTTGATATGAGTGCCGCATTTGATTATATTGATCATGCAGTGCTCATACGTAGGTTGAATTTTGGTTATGGTGTATGTGATTTGGTGTTGACATTTTTGAGTCATATTTTTATAAACGCACCCATCAAGTATATTATGATAACATTTTGTCAAATGCTGTTGATATGTTGTCTGGTGTCCCAGAATGGTCTGTGTTGGGTCCGCTTCTTTTTATGCTGTACACAGCTAAAGTTTTAGATATAATAAAAGAATTTAACTTAAAAAGTTATCCCTATGCTAATGCTAATATGGTTGCTGTCTCGCTTGTTTGTGAGTTGATTAATTTATTTGACAAGTTAGGAAGTTGTTTAAATGCTGTTGATGTGTGGATGGCTCAAAATGGAATAAAAATGAATCAAGATAAAACTCAGGTCATACCAATTGGCACCTGGCAACAAACGTCTAGGATTGGTGTTAACTCTATCAAAATAGGGGATACTGATGTTGGTTTTGTTAAAACAGCAACGGTGTTGGGATTTACATTTGATGTAAATTTAACTATAAAGATGCATGTTCAAAACATGTTCATGATAGTTCTGTTCAAATGTATTTGTATGCTGATGGTGCTAAATGTTTAATTTTATAAGATGTGTAGATGATAGAATAGTGCTACAAAAACATCTTGATAAATTGTATGATTGGTGTATGTTATGGAAAATCGATTTAAATATTGAAAAGTGTGCAGCTATAAAATTTGGTCATTCATGTTTGGATAATAATTGGTGTTGGGATTTACATTTGATGTANATTTAACTATAAAGATGCATGTTCAAAACATGTTCATGATAGTTCTGTTCAAATGTATTTGTATGCTGATGGTGCTAAAATGTT